CTGCTGCAGTTTGTCTGAAAGTTGAATCACGGCGACTGGATTTATTTTCTGGCTGGCTTGAGACGTTTTCACTGGCCATCCAAGCAGCTTTTTCGGTCTCAGCAAGTTGGCTAGGAGAATCTGAGTGAGCCAGGAATTGTTGGAATGTAAGCCAGCTCCTAAAATTCCTAGGAATATTTCTTCACCAATCCCATGGTTTCTTCCCCAAAGTGTATGGCAATATGTCAGGGAAGATTCTTAGTCATCGAGGTAGAATTATGTAAAAGTTGAGTCATTGCAATTGGACTTATTTTCTAGTTGGTTTGGGACATTTTGCTGCCCATGCAGGCGGCTTCTTCTTGGATGGCCAGTGAAACATCTCAACCAACTCGACTTTTAGACAATTCTACCTGGATGACTTGAGAATTGTCATCAAGATTTCTTTGATTTTTCTACTGTTACTACTGTTAAGAAATTAAAAGACACTCCTGGGGAGGAAAGCTATGGCAAATCTAGACAGCATACTAAAAAGCAGAGACATCACCCTGCCAACAAAAGTGTGTATAGTCAAGGCCATGGTTTTCCCAGTTGCAACGTATGGCTGTGAAAGTTGGACCATAAGAAAGGCTGAGCGCCAAAGAATGGAGGTCTTTGAACTATGGTGCTGGAGAAGACTCCTGCGAGTCCCCTGGACTGCAAGGCGATCAAACCGGTCAGTCCTAGAGGAGATCAACCCCGACTGCTCTTTAGAAGGCCAGATCCTGAAGTTGAAACTCAAGTACTTTGGCCACCTAATGAGAAGGAAGGACTCCCTGGGGAAGGGCCTAATGCTGGGAAAGATTGAGGGCAAGAGAAGAAGGGGATGACAGAATGAGCTGGCTGGATGGAGTCACTGAAGCAGTAGACGTGAGCTTAAATGGACTCCAGAAGATGGTAGAGGACAGGACGGCCTGGAGGAACGTTGTCCAAAGGGTCACGATGGGTCGGACACGACTTCACAACTAACAACAACAACCGTTACTACATTTGCATGGCTATCTCAAAGGAGCTTTTTCAAGAGGCAACTGGACTTCCTTGTTTTTCCTTGAAGATGTTCCGCTTCTCATCCAAGAAGCTTCTTCAGCTGAAGAAGCTTCTTGGATGAGAAGCGGAACATCTTCAAGGAAAAACAAGGAAGTCCAGTTGCCTCTTGAAAAAGCACCTCTGGGACAACCATGACCTGGATGACGGAGGATCTCCATAAGCATTTGCATGACTAATCATAGATAAAACTGAGCTTGCATTTTTGTCGCCAGGGAAGGCCAATCTGAATGCAAACCAATTCTTTTAAAATGTGTAAACCATGCTCCCTTTTGCATTTTCATTTTAGTCGGCTGCAAGTGTGGTTCCTGCAGATGACAAAACCGCGGTTAACATGGCAATTAACTTAACCTTCTGCTAATCACTTTGTCTCCTCTTCCCAGAAATCAGAGAGGAAGAACGCAAAATCCTGGAGCGTGCAGGATACTTCCAGAGTATCACTGTGGGAGTGGCACCCATCGTTGTAGTGATAGCTAGTGTGGTGACTTTCTCTGTTCATATGATCTTTGGCTATGATCTCACAGCAGCCCAGGTAATTTTGGGGGGCAGATGGTGTTCACATCAGATATAGGAAGGGAGTCCTAGTGGACCATCACCTAAATATGAGCCAGCCGTGTGCTGCAGCTGCCAAAAAAGCCAACACAGTGCTAAGCTGCATTAACAGGGATAGAATCAAGATCACGCGAAGTATTAATACCACTCTACAATGGCTTGGTAAGGCCACACTTGGAATACTGACTGCATCCAGTTTTGGTCACCACGATGTAAAAAAGATGTTGAGACTCTAGAAAGAGTACAGAGAAGAGCAACAAAGATGATTAGGGGACTGGAGGCTAGAACATACAAGGAACGGCTGCTGGAATTGGGTATGTCTAGTTTAATGAAGAGAAGGACGAGGGGGGACATGATAGCAGTGTTCCAATATCTCAGGGCTGCCCCAAAGAAGAGGGAGTCAAGCTATTCTCCAAAGTGCCTGAAGGCAGGACAAGAAGCAAGGGATGGAAACTAATCCAGGAGAGAAGCTACCTAGAACTAAGGAGAAATTTCTTGACAGCTAGAACAAGCAGGGGGTTGGACTAGAAGACCTCTAAGGTCCCTTCCAACTTTTTATTATTATTGTTGTCATTATTATTATTATTAATTATTATTGTTATTATTTTGGAAACTTGGGATCGTGGATGCTTTTCCCACATGCTCTGATCCAAATTTGCATACTGTTTTCCTGTGCCATGAAAAGTTGCTAGTGACAAGGTTAGTCCTACATAAAGATGCAATTAATTATTGTAATGACCTAGGAACTAAACTGAACCTAGTAAAAATAAAAACTCCAGAACAATAGTAAGCTGTGATCAGCATCTATGGTAGCCTTTTGTATTTTTGATTGCAGTAAGTGTCAAGAAAAACTGGTATCTTTGGGGGATGTTCCTGCAGGACCCCCTTTTCTGTATTTTTTATTGTTTGAAGTAGACTTACTGTACCTTATGGCTTCAATAATATCTGAAGATAACAAAGAATGAGTGTCTATTTCTGCTAGAGCCATTTCATTGTTGCTCTATATTGATGGAGAAGTTGGATCTTTGTGCCAAAAAATGTAATTTGGTGTGCAATATTCTTAAATTAAAAAGGAATTGGACTCTTCAAAGAAAACCTCCTATGCTGCAGTATTCATGTTTCATGAAAATCCTCCATGGGATATCTGCGTATCATACTTGTTATAATTGAGGATTAAAACAAGTCCAGCTATGTTCTTTCTCTTATTAATGGTTTTCAGGAAGAATGAAAAACATCTGGGTCATCTGAGTGATATCTGCTTTCTTTTGTTCCTGTTAGCAGTTGATACACTTTCATTCAGGAAGTATTCAGACCCCCATCACTTTTGTCAATTAGGTTATGCTGCAGCCTGGTTCTACAATTGTTGAAATTCATTTCCCCCCCGTTGATCTACACTCAATATCCCATAATGACAAAATAAAAACGGCATTTTAAAAATGTCTGTAAATTTATTAAAAAGAAAGAAAAAACCTGAAAGGTCACATTGGCATAATTATTCAGACCCTTTGCAACCACACTTGAAATTTAGCCTCCTATTTCTTTTGATTGTTGCTGATATATTTCTATATTGTGATTGGAGTTGACCTGTGGTAAATTAAATTGATTGGACATGATTTGGAAAGGCACACACCTCTCTGTGGAAGGCCTCACATCTGACAATGGGTACTGTAGCAGAGCAAAAGCCATGAGGTCAAAGGAACGGCCTGCATACCTCGGAGACGGGGTTATTGCAAGGCACAGATCTGGGGAAGGCTAATAGTAAAATTTCTGCTGCACTGAAGGTTCCTAAGAGCACAGTGGCCTCTATAATTCTCAAACGGAAAAAGTTTGGCACAACCAGGACTCTTCCAAGAGCTGGTCGCCTGGTCAAACTGAGCAATCGGGAGAGAAGGGCCCTTAGTAAGACAGGTGACCAAGAACTTGACTGAGCTCCAGAGATCCTATGTGGAGATGGGACAGAGTTCCAGAAGGACAACTCATCACTCCAGTCTTCCACCAATCTGGGCTTTATGGCAGAGTGGCTAGACCAGGGGTCTTCAAACTTGGCTGCTTTAAGACTTATGGACTTCAATTCCCAGAATTCCTCAGAATTCAGTTTTTTAAAAAAAATAAATTTGCAGGCATTTCTAAAATTAGTTTTTTTTCTTTGTCATGATAAGGTACTGAGTATAGATTAATGAGGAAAAAAAGAGATTTTCAACAACTGTAGAATCAGGCTGCAGCATAACAAAATCGGCAAAAGGGAAGGGAGGGGGGCTCTGAATATTTTCTGAATGCAATGTAATTATTCTACAGAAAGAGTGCAGAAGTACAGTCAGGTTTTGGCTTTGTCCTCAAAACAGTGACAACGCAAAAAGCTGGGAACTTCCAGAGCAAAACATAATTTCCTTTTCTTGCTTCCTTCAATCCATTTCAATGCACTCTGTAGAATTTTTATATTTTTTTTAAACCTGGAGGAATACTATCACTGTTGCCGATTAGCTATAAATTCTTGGATTTACGCACGGCTTCTTACCGCTGCTGCAGTCAAAAATGCTTATTTCCTTCTGTGTTTCAGGCTTTTACGGTGGTGACAGTATTCAACTCCATGACTTTTGCTTTGAAAGTCACCCCGTTTTCCGTGAAGTCTTTGTCTGAAGCTTCCGTTGCGGCTGACAGATTTAAAGTAAGTCACCCCTGCCTTGTCATGTTTTACTATTTGGTTGGGTCCTTTTGCAGATTCTGAAATACTCACGTATTAAATGTCTTGCTACCTTCATCGCTCTGTTCTCACCATAAGGAGCATGATGTAAACACCCTGAAGTTCTGTTTGCCAAAGTGGCCATTTTGCTGTACAATAGCGTTACTAACTAACGCTAGTAATTGATTGCATTCAGTTGACTACCAAGTCAAAGAGAGGATAGGACTGCAGGATTTAAATAAATTTGAAGCATGGTAACGAAGCATGATGCACACGCATGCAGAACCTCGTAGAATGCAACCTATAGCATGCCTTACGACAGCTTATAATATCAAATTCCTTGGCAGTGATTTTCATTTTTTAAAAAAAGTTTTCCGTATTTGCTTGTCTACAGTAGAACTCTTGTGAGTTGCTGAAGATTTTAGCATGCACAGTTCACTCAGAGGGAAAGCTGGTCTGGCTATTGGGCTTCATCCTTGTCACAGTTACTTTTAAAGTGCATTTCAGAACATAACCTGGAAAATATTGAGAAGAGCCCAACTGAGACGCATTCTTCAATTTTCACTTTTTTCCCCCCTCGGTTTCTGAATGTTTGCAGTTCCTCTCTTACTGTGCTTAAACTAGCTAATGTCCAAGGTTGTTGGTTTTTTTCACCATAGAACTATGTTATCAGCAGAAGTGTCTGCCTGAGATTGCATGAAGGCATTGTATATATACTTTGAAATGTAAATTGCTTTTAGGTCTGCCATTTGAATACCCAGGAATTCCATCAAGCAAGCCAATCTTTAGGCCAGTGGAATAATTTTAGTATTCTTGGCGAGAACAACATTAGCGTTTTGAAATATGCAGGATGCTAAATCTTAGTTAAAAGAAGGTAGGGAAAGAGGAATCCTTCAGAGAAAACCAGCAATATTGCCTCTTAAGACAAAGGCTTATAGTTTGCTTATCATCCGTGGAACATTTCAGTCCAAGTCCCACAATTATTCCGGGGATGGGAGTCATTAAAGAAATAAGTCTCTTTGCAAATACTTGGTTAACTAACTGAAAATGTGTTTTGGTTTTTTTCTGTGTAAACTGTTGAACAAAGACTGCACAATATTTTTGAACAGACGGATGCAGTGGAAAACACGACATAGAGGCTCTGGGTTTTTGACGCTGCGGTTTTGTCATCCGTGATAACACACAGTCAGATTCGAAAAGTGCCTGATTTTTGTTCAGCAGAGAGTTGAGCGTTGTTGTTTTTTTTAATCTGGGTCGAGCAGGGGTCTCACCCGTTTACGCTGGCGGTATTTCTGGCATACAAAATTTCTCTCCTGCAAAAATGGATCCCGCGTCTTTTAAGTCTCTCTGTCTGAGGACCACTGCATTCGTGGGTGAACCAGGTCCTTCTGAAGGACCTGGCGTTAGTTTTCACTAATGAGCTACCTTTTGCTCTTCAGCTTCCCTGCACTGTATAAGCCTGATGTGTTTTGCTGCGTGAGTGTGCCGTAGACTTGTCCCCCCCTCAGTCTTGACCAGGTGTCTCATCTTTGCACCTCTCTCACAACTCCTATCAGAGTTTGTTTCTAATGGAAGAGGTTCATATGGTAAAGAAAAAACCAGCCAGTCCTCACGCAGCCATACAGATGACAAATGCCACCTTAGCCTGGGAATCCTCCCATGCTAGTGTCCAGAGCTCACCCAAGATGACCCCTAAAATGAAAAAGGGCAAGACAGCCACGAACAGGAAAGACAAGAAGAAACAGCAGCAACACGAGGGACGGCAGACCATGCTCACTGAGCAGAAGGGCCATCTTCTGGTGGATAGCGATGACCCCCCCAGCCCTGAGGAGGAGAACCAGCGCATCCAGCTTGCGAACGTCCGGCTGCAGAAGGTCCTTTACAACATTGACCTGGAAATTGAGAAGGTGAGGAAGCACTTCCCTCCTTTCCCCATATCTCTCTCTCTCTCTCTCTCTCTCTCTCTCTCTCTCTCTCTCTCTCTCTCTCNCCAGGTCTTTTACAGAAATAAAACCCCAAAACAAAACCCAATAAACCCCCAAGTCCCCTGGTGACAACCATCAAAAAGATGTTGAGACTCTAGAAAGAGTACAGAGAAGAGCAACAAAGATGATTAGGGGACTGGAGGCTAAAGCATATAAGGAACGGTTGCTGGAATTGGGTCTGCCTAGTTTAATGAAGAGAAGGACGAGGGGGGACAGGATAGCAGAGTTGCAGTATCTCAGAGGCTGCCCCAAAGAAGAAGGAGTCAAGCTATTCTCCAAAGCGCCTGAAGGCAGGACAAGAAGCAACGGATGGAAACTAACCAAAGAGAGAAGCAATCTAGAACTAAGGAGAAATTTCCTGACAGTTAGAACAATTAACCAATGGAACAACCTGCATACAGAAGCGGTGAATGCTCCAACACTGGAAGTTTTTAAGAAGAGACTGGACAGCCATTTGTCCGAAATGGTATAGGGTTTCCTACGCAGGGGGTTGGACTAGATGACCTCCAAGGCCCCTTCCAACTTTATCATCATCATTATCATCATCATTATCATCATCATCATCATTATTATTATTATTAACCAGCCACTTGATTGGCTCCCCATCACCCTGGGGTCCAAAACTATGTCTTCAGGGCCTTTTGAAAGAGTATCAAGTTGGAGGCCAATCTTATCTCCGCAGAGATGATGTTTCACATGGAGGGGGCCACCGTGGAGAAGGCCCTTCTTCTTGGTCCCACTAGATGGACCTCCTTAAGAGAGGGGACCCCTAACGTACACTGCCTCTCCCCTCTCTGGTGTGTTGAGTAGGTATAACTGGGAAAAGTCCTTCAAACAACTTGGTCCCAAGCCATGACTTCTTGCTTTCTTGCGAGTCATTCACACTTACAGAGTGTGGGAGCATCAACCTAAGGCCCAGGTCTACCCTTCGTGTTGATTGGGGAGGCCTCTGTCCAGGCAGAGGAGGTGCCTGGTAACACCATATCCAGGGAAGTGGAGGTCTCCTCGGCCTGTGGTACATGTCAATCTTAGAAGATCTCTAAGCTAGCTTTTTGGACCGAGACAGGGCTTCATCAGTCATTTCTTTGAAGGAAGGCCATCTGCAGGTAGCCAATGGTTAGGCTTTCTTTGTGATAGCCCCCTTCAATGGAACAGCCCTAATTTCCAGATACCTAGACCTCCACCATCTTATAGGGCTTCTAAAGAGTTGTAAAGATGAGGCTCCACAAGAATACCTTTTGGGATGTGGTAGTTTAGCCTATCTCCATAAATGGGAGGTGAGAGAGGAAAGAAGAGTCTGAGAGGGAAGGGCGGGAATTTATAAGACTTGGAGGGGTCCTTGGTGCTCCCGCAGCTTGGTTGTTTTCCTGCAGACGTTTCTAGCTCTGATGACATTACCTAGTTTGGCTAATGAAACACTGCGAGCTCAAGAGAGCACCAAGGATCCCTCCTTCCAACCCTGAGCTAAAAATATCCTCCTTTATTGATGAGACTTTGAGGCAGTATCTTTGACAGGCCTGTCGCTGCTGTTTCAGATGACTTTATTGGAAGGCAGCATTTCCGTGGACGGGACCTTTGCTTATGTGGCCCAGCAGGCCTGGATTCTCAACGCCACGCTGAGAGACAACATCCTTTTCGGAAAGGAGTTTGAAGAAGAAAGGTTGGTTTGCTGGAGTTTCGTGAACTTTTCTCTTGTGATGCAGGTGGGGAAAGGCTGCTGGGTGGAGGTTGGCCCTGAACTGCCTTGCAGCCATTTTGGACCGATAGTTTATGTCAGTGGTGGCGAACCTATGGCACGGGTGCCAGAGGCGGCACTCAGAGCCCTCTCTGTGGGCACGCACGCCGTCGCCCCAGTCCTAGGCCTTCAGCTGGGTTTTATAAAACCTTTTCGCTTTAGGCCTTCGCCGCAGTGTACAAAAAAAAAGGTTCAATCAATCAGTCAATTTCAACTTCTCGCGGGGGAAAAAAAAGATCTTGCAAAGTTGGAATTGATTGATTGAACTTTTTAGTCCCACCCAGTCTGCCGTTACCACCGCAGCCACGCCCACCCAGTAGGCCAAGCCCACCCAATTGGCCACACCTACCCGGCACCCGACGATGCATAGGTGGGTTTTGGGTTGCAGTTTGGGCACTCGGTCTCTAAAAGGTTTGCCATCACTGGTTTATGTCCAGGAACAAGATGGTGATTTCCTATCTCAGCCTCCCTTACTATGAGCGTCCTGCTTTTAATCTTCACTGGCTGCACTGAAATAAAACATTGGACCAGGCCTTGTGTAACAAAAAGCCACGATTTAGTACCGTGTTTTCCCGAAAGTAAGGCCTACACCAACAATAAGTCCTACCTTGATTTTTGGGGAGTGGGCCTAATATAAGTCCTATCCCAAAAATAAGCCCCGTACCCACTTGTAGCCAGGTCTCTCCTTGTCGGCCCACTTCTTCTTCTGAGGCCTCTTCTGTAGCCAGGCCTGCATTTCTCAGTCACAGGGCTTTCCGGAAGGCCTGTGCAGCCAAATAGCTCAGTTCTGCAAGAGCTCAGCAGCCGAGCACCAAGCTATGGATTGAATCCATAGCACGGTACTCGGCTGCTTAGGCCTTCCGGAAAGGCCCGACTGCAAAATGCAGACCCGAATGCAGCTGTAGAACTTCAGCCCCAGAAGAAGTGGACCGGCTGGGTGGCGCTGTCGGTGCTGGAGGTGAGGTAAGGCCTACCCCGAAAATAAGACCTGGTGCTTCTTTTGGAGGCAAAAATAAATAAATAAAAAATAAGACCCGGTCTTATTTTCGGGGAAACATGGTATTAAGTACACAAGACTGTGCGGTGTGATGGCTTAGTGGATAAAAACACTAAGCTTGTCAGCTGGAAAGCCGACAGCCCAGGTTCGAGGCCTGAGTGCCACATGACAGGGTGAGCTCCCGTTACTTGCCTCAGCTCCTGCCAACCTAGCAGTTCAAAAGCATGCAAATGTGGGTAGATAAATAGGTAACAGCCTTCCGTGCACCTCAGCGGATAGTCGTGCCGGCCACATGACCATGGAAGTGTCTTCAGACAACACTGGCTCCCTCGACTAAGAAATAGAGATGAGCAGCACCCCTTAAAATTGGACTTGACTGGACAGGGGAACCCTTTACCTTTACATGAGACTCGGTGAGCCTCAACTAAGCAGCGGAGCCACGTATCTTCCGTTCTTCCCAACTGGGAGAAAGTCTTTAAACCCCGATGTTCCCGAATTCCTGGCTTATTTAATTCACTGCATCACAGATATTGTGGTTTATAGCCAAACTGCAGTTGCTTACTAAGCCAGAACCACAAAATGGAGAGTGCTTTTCAAACATTATGTTTGGGGCACAGATAAGAACTTTGGTAGGAATCAATGAGAATTAATGCGGTGTTGAGTTGAAGGTATTGGATTAGGAGCAAGGAGACTGAGGGTAAAGTGAAACCCCTAACTGTGAGTCAGTCATTCTCTCTCAGCCCAGCCTACCTTGAGGAATTGTGCCGTGTTTAATAGAAGCCCCTAATAAATAAAAACAGTAAATATTAAAATAAAATCTAATGAGAAAAGAATTTGGTGTAATAGTTAAGACAGGGGTCTTCAAACTTGGCCCTTTTATGACTTGTGGACTTCAACTCCCAGAATTCCTCAGCCAGCCTCCATTTTGTTTGTTAGATTTAAGACAGGGGTCTTCAAACTTGGCCCTTTTACGACTTGTGGACTTCAACTCCCAGAATTCCTCAGCCAGGCACGCTGAGGGGAAAGGGAGAGGTTTCCAAGCTGAGCCATGCTGGCTGAGGAATTCTGGGAGTTGAAGTCCACAAGTCATAAAAGGGCCAAGTTTGAAAACCCCTGAGTTAAGGCAACAGGCTAGAAATCATGAGACTGTGAGTTGGGTGAGGCCTGTTTTGGGTGACCTTGGGCCAATACCTCTCTCTCAGCCTAGAAAGAAGGGCAAGGGCAAAGTCCTTGGAAAAGTTTTGTTGAGAGAAACTGCAGAGAGCTGTCCAGGCAGTCACCAGGAGATGACACTAACTTGAACACACACATGCAGACAAAAAAAAATAAAAAATCAGAGCTAAATTTGGCAGGAATTTTCCTCCTTAGCCAGTTAAGAGGATGGAGAAATATATGTTATACGAAATTGTAACATAGCATTATGTAAGGGACAGCCTGATAATGACATCATTCAAAATGCAACTGATGTTACAAGTCAGTTTTGAGCCAATCGCTGTCTTTGTTGCCCATTGTGGTGCTCACCAGGCACATAACTATTTCAAAGCAATTAGTTAATTGGCCTAACAGTCACAATTCTACCTGGGGCAAAACCAGATAAATTTCTAAATGTCCCAGTGGGGCAGATGTGTCTGAGATACATTTTCTAAATCTGTCTTTCACTCTTTAAACAGGCCCTGGGGAAATGCTATAGGGGCGGAATTAGTCCCATTTAACTTGGAAATGGTCTCTTTACTGCTTTTTAAAAATATGTATATTCATCTATACATATATGTATATATATATAGGTACAATATGGTGTTGAGTGATTGCTGTCTCCGACCTGATCTGGCTATCCTGCCAAACGGGGATCTGACTGAGGTAAGAATCTTGCTTAACTGAGGTAAGAATCTTGCTTGACTGAGGCAAGAGTCTTGCTTGACTGAGGTAAGAATCTTGCTGAGGTAAGAATCTCGCTTGCTTCCCTCTACCCATGTGTAGAGGGAAAATGTGTGACATGCTTAGGGGTTGATAAACAGCTTTTCCTGTGAATTTCATTACATCCTTAACTACTTAATATGTCATCAGACTAAAATATGAGACCTGTTTACCTTGCTATGTCATTAATGGTTTCAAGGGTTAACGTCAGGCAAGAAAGACCAGATCTACATGTGTGAAGGTCCAATTAAACTAATTTATAGATAATCATGCCTGTGCACAGAAATATTCTCAACTTATGGTCAGCACCTGCTTGGAGTCAAATAAGAGTCAAGGGAATTCAAGGGAAGTTAGACTTAATTTGTTTGTGGCTACGCAGGGATTCTAGGCTGATCCCTCTTTTAACTCCACCTCCAGTTTCTGCCACTTCTTCTTTTATAGTTATTTCACAAAATAATAATTAGGGCACGTCCTGTTGTACTTTGAGGAGAGAGTTCTCAAAACAGGTGCTTTGCCAGCCTGCTTTGTGATGGGGATGGGCAGTTTCAAATTTTTTAAATAAATTATGTTCCTGGTGGTACAAAACGGTAGATACCTTAAGTGAGGGGTGAGTTTAATAAGGCATTTATTGCTAAGGAAAGATTATTTTCATGGAAAGAGCAGGTTCTGTCTGTTGTTTCAAGTTAAATTCAATTGATGGAAATATTATAAAATGCTTTTTGAGTGGCAGCACCCAAACTGTACAATTTCCTCCCAAAGAAGCAAGGGCCAACTCCATCTTTGGAAGTTTTAGGTAATAAGAAACATTCCTGCTTTAAATGTGTTTGAAACCTTTATTTGACTCCTTTTTGCTTTTTAGAAGGACAGTTTCCATTTCATTTCTAATTTCTTAGGGTCAGAAAGTGGTTGAAAAGACCCCCCCCCAATTGATAAAATACAACTGAATGTAGCCTTGGATGTAGTTCCACTTCTCATTTCAGTTTAATTGCAAAATTATCTAACTGCATTAAAATGAGTTGGATGCCCATGCACTGATGATCACTGATGTTCTTTTAAATAGGCATCTGCTGTTTTCTGTTAATTATTATGTTTCCGTTGTTTTCAAATATGTTAAGAAGCCTTGTCTCAAAAATTCCTTAAACAAGCATTCTTTAAGTAAATGACAGGATGCATGCATTAAGTAGGCTATGGTGCTGGATAGTTTGTTTCTGTAGGAACTGAGCTTTGGATCTTTGCTATCAAATTCAGTAAATAGTTTCCGGTTGTCAACTGTCCAGTTGGCATTTCCAGAAAAAGAAACTCCTGGGACACGATTTTACCAAGAGTATAATACTTTACTGAAAATTTACATTGGCAGAGAAGAAGCAAAACCAACTCTGGTTTTCCTGCTCAAAAGCTTACTTAATTAAACAATAGATTCCCTCGCCCCCACCCATTGGGGGTTCACATTATCCAATAGTAACACTTCTTCTTCTTATGGGAAAAGTCCACTTCATTAGTGACCTTGGCTTTATCAGCTCCAAGCTCTCAGAGATGCCTGGTTGCCTAGCTACCATCCCTCCCACTTTTGCATCCCACAACTTTGTCAAACTGTGAGCCGAAGAGAAAGTAGGTGAAAGCGTGAATTCTGTTAAATTATTTGAATCCTGCTTTGAATTTTGGACAAATGGCAGGATTGATAAGAAGTTCTGCCGTGCCTTACCCAAGCAAATACTTGAAACAAGACATGTTTTATTTAGATTGGTGAGCGGGGCGCGAACTTGAGTGGGGGGCAGCGCCAACGGATCAGCCTTGCCCGTGCGCTGTACAGCGACAAGAGCATTTTCATCCTCGATGACCCGTTGAGTGCCTTGGATGCCCACGTTGGAAACCACATCTTCAACAGTGCAATCCGGAAGCACCTGAGGACCAAAACAGTTGTGTTCATCACACACCAGCTCCAGGTAGGCTGACCGTGTCCTCTTGCTCTGTTCTGCTCGGGAGTTTATTGGCTGAATAAATGTGGGCGACTGTAACTTTCTGCTGTCCAGAGGGAACTCTTTAATTTAATCAACCTAATTGGGTTACTGCCTCACAGAGGAAATAAAAATACAGAGGATTTAAGCCTGAGTGTATTTGAGAATCAAAAGCAGCCAAAAGTGAGAAGGAAAAGCAAGCAGTTTGTTTACTGATTTGCAAAAGGGTATACTCTGCATTTATAGTGCATACCGGTGGTCCTCGACTTATAGACATTTGTTTACGCATCGTTTGAAGTTAACAACAGCGCTGGGGAAAAAAATGACTGAGGACCGTTTTTCACACTTACATCCGTTGCAGCATTTCCATGGTCACATGATCAGGATTTGAACGCTTGGCAACTGGCATGTATTTATGGCAGTTGCACTGTCCCAGGGTCATGTGATCACCATTGGTAACCTTCCCAGCCAGCTTCAGACAATCAAATTCAGTGAGGGAAGCTGGATTCACTTAATCACCAATGATTCGGTTAACAACTTCAGTGATTCACTTAACAACTGTGGCAAGAAAGGTCGTAAAAGGGGGCAAAACTCACTTAACCACCGTCTTGTTTGCAGTGGAAATTTTGGGTTCAATTGTGGTTGTAAGTTGAGGACTACCTGTATGGACTGCTTCTATACAAATTATGATGGGATGGAAAGATTTTTTCCCCCATGTGCTTCCACATTTTAGAAAAATCTAGTAGCTTATTTAATGCAGAGGTCCCCAACCTTTTGGGCACCAGGGACCGGTTCCGTGGAGAAAGGTTTTTCCACGGACCGGAGAGTGCGTGCTTTTGTGTGCTGCCTGCATCCCACGGATGGGGCTTTGCTTGTTTGTGTGGACCGGTTGCTGGCGTGCCATGGCCCAGTACCGGTCCATGGACTGGGGGTTGGGGACCCCTGATTTAATGAATCTGAGATGTTTTGCTAAAGAGATAGAAAGCCAGCTCAAGATGAATGGATGCAAATATTGCTTCTGCACATAATCAGAGATGTTATTAATCTTGTCGGCCTTGCAGGGTTGTGATAGTGCCTAATATAAGAAAAATGAAAATGGGTGGGATTTAGGAAGGAGGAACTCTATGGCTCATGAGACTTGCATGGTGAATGGGTGGCCGCACCGAATGAACGAACAAATAGAAATATAGAAAACTGACAGCAGAAAAAGACCTCCTGGTCCCTGGAGTTTGGCTTTTGAGGAGTTCTTTGTTGTTGTTTTTCACCTCTGGGACTGTTGCAGCATCCCCCTGGCCATGTGATCAAAACTCGCCAGAGGGTTGGCAACTGGCGTGTGTTTGTGTTAGCTGCACTGTCCCGGAGTCATGTGTAACCTTCCCACCAGCATTCATTTTTTAATTATTGTGGGTTTTTTTACATTTTGGTGGCATGATCGGTCCCCCTCACTATGAATGTTCCTCTTCTTTTTATCAGTATCTTGTGGATTGCGATGAAGTGATTTTCGTGAAGGAAGGCTGCATCACTGAGAGAGGAAGCCATGAAGACTTGATGAATCTGAATGGCGACTATGCAGCCATTTTCAATAGCTTGCAGCTGGGAGAAACACCACACATTGAGGTATTTTTTTTTCTGTGCTACGGTTCTTGTCCTAAACAGCAATAAAGTCATATGTAAATTACCCTAAAGCCCAATAACTTATTCTTTATTACAAGCCATTCACATAATAGCAAAATTATTGTGTTGTTGTTAGTTGCAAAGTCGTATCTGACCCATCGCGACCCCATGGACAACGTTCCTCCAGGCATTCCTGTCCTCTACCATCTTCTGGAGTCCATTTAAGTTCACACCTACTGCTTCAGTGACTCCATCCAGTCACCTCGTTCTCTGTCGTCCCCTTCTTCACTTGCCCTCCATCTTTCCCAGCATTAGTCTCTTCTCCAGTGAGTCCTTCCTTCTCATTAGGTGGCCAAAATAATTGAGTTTCAACTTGAGGATCTGGCCTTCTAAAGAGCAGTCGGGGTTGATCTCCTCTAGGACTGACCGGTTTGATCGCCTTGCAGTCCAGGGGACTCGCAGTAGTCTTCTCCAGCACCATAGTTCAAAGGCCTCCATTCTTTGGCGCTCAGCCTTTCTTATGGTCCAACTTTCACAGCCATACATTGCAACTGGGAAAACCGTGGCCTTGACTATACATACTTTTGTTGGCGGGGTTATTGTGTAGGCTTGTAATATCTTTTCTAGACCAAGATGGAGACTGGGTAAACCTCTCACTTCTGTGAATTGCCAGCCATTTTGCTGATAACTGATTATCTTCCTTTTAGCCCTCCACTGAAAAGGTTCTAGCTGCCATACACCCCAAAGAACAAATGTACAATAAACAATTATTCAAATGAAAACATGGTCCATGTTTTTTTACTCAGTGGCTGGCAGAAAGAGAGGGAAATTTCTATTGAAGTCAGTCTTTAAGAGGGCAGTCAGAATAACAGAACAACAGAGTAGGAAGAGACCTGGGAGATCTCCAACCTTTTCGGCTTTGCGGACGAGCAGGGGGGGTGGGGATGGTTCCTTGCGAGCGGCGGACAAACACGCATGAACAGCTCCATTGACACAAGTGGTGGGCACACGAACCCGCCGCTCACACAAATGGAGCACGCGCACGCACTCACCCGCTGTTCATGTAAGTGGGAATGTGCCCACCGCTTCTGCGGCCCGGTTCTAAATGGCTCAAGGACCAGAAGTGGGCTGCGGGCTGGAGGTTGGGACCCCAGTTCTAGTCCAACCCCACTGCTCATGCAGGAAACTCTGTATAATTTCAGACAAGTGGCTGTCTAATCCTACCATGTTTTCCCCAAAAATAAGACCAGGTCTTTTATTAATTTTTGCTCCAAAAGACACAAGAGGGCTTGTTTTCCGGTTGGGTCTTATATTCGGGGAATATACGGTACTAAATATGTCCCACCTGGCTGACGATTTTAACGGGGGCTTATTTTGGGGATGGGGCTTATATTATGAGCATCCTGAAAAAATCATGCTATTTTCCAGTTGGGTCTTATTTTCGGGAAAACACAGTAGCATACGGGTTCTAGTATATTATAGCAGGGCTTTTCAACTTTTTCACCCATTGTACCACTTTTAGGATATGGCAATATCCAAGTACCACCAGTCACCTAGCATGGTGTCAAAAACTTGATGACCCCCCCCCAAAAAAAGTGATAAAGTACAGGTAGTCCTCGACTGTCAACAGTTTGCTTAGTGACTGTTCGAAATTACAATGGCACTGAAAAAAGTGCCCGCCAAGCCACAGCCGAGCAAGACACTTGCTTGCCCGCCCGGCCACGCTCTTCCTCCTGTCTGAGGTTTTCATTGTTGTGAGCATTTCTGTTGAGTATTGGCAGCGGGGTGTGTGTGTTTGGTTTTTATTCCCCCCCCATCTGCTGGGTGGTTGCAGCAGGTTTTGGTCACTTCACATGACCCTGGGACACTGTGACCGTCATAAATATGAATCAGTTGCCAAGCATCTGAATGTAAATCACAAGACCCTGGAGAGGCTGCAACATTCCAGCTGATCGGCGCTTCCTCTGGGCTCAGCAGAAGTGTCAGGATCAGTGCTGTTTTCCAGCTGATTGGTGCTTTAGGGCTCAGCAGAAGCACCAGGATCAGTGCCGAGCTCCAGCTGGAGCCTGGCGCTGATCCTGGCGCTTCCGCTGAGCCCTGACAGCCCTGCAGCTCCAGCCATCTCTCGCTCAGGCTTGTGCGGTGCTGCCACCGGTTCAGCTCATTCCCCTCCCCCGCTACCACTTTTCTAGGATGGTTGCATACCACCTGCCAGGTGCCCATGTACCACAGGGGGTACCCGTACCACTGGTTGAAAAGCCCTGTATTATAGGACATCCATTTATGGAGGCTTTAACTAGGCCCTTTTCCTTCTTCTGGGGAATGTGGTATCATGTTTTACTTGCAAAGTTGAGGCAGGCTGAATCTGAGTTACCTCCTCTCTCTGTTGCAGGTTAACTTAAAGAAGACCGCAAACAGTTCGTTGAAAAGACTCCCGGAGAAAGGCGCCAAAACGGGATCCGTGAAGAAAGAGAAAGTAGTCAAGAAGGAAGAAGGTACAGGTTGTTATCCAAAAACGCAAATTTCACTTCTACCCACCTTGTTGTGTGTGCAGGTATTCTGTTAACAATTCAGTAGGTTCCGGATGATCTTAGTGGATCTGAGCTCAGACTAGATCTTGCCTTCTTTCTTTTACCCACAAAGACTAGTGCTAATTTTTGAAGCAGCGTGCTTCCTCGGTCTCCAAAATGAGCACAGTAATCTAAGCAAGAGTTTAGAATAGTTTAAGTCGGTGTTTCTCAACCTTGGCAACTTTACGATGTGTGGACTTCAACTCCCAGAATTCTCCAGCTAGCGTTGCTAGCTGGAGAATTTTAGGAGTTGAAGTCCACACATCGTAAAGTTGCCAAGGTTGAGAAACACTGGTTTAAGTCATGTGTAGGAAAATTTAACCAGGGTTTAATCCTAGCCTATTTACAGATTTTGGTTGGCTACATTTGAATGCTGTCTGTGTGTATAAAGCATTTTCAGGGAACTTCGTACACGTAGTCCTCGAGTTATGAGTGGAATGGAGCCTGCACATTCCACTTGTAACTCCAAAACTCGTAGAGAGAATCTCGTGCCTCGAACGAGATCGCTCCCTTGCTCGTTAAAATGCTCGTGGCTCAAGTGCCCATGAGGTATCTGAAGGTGGGGAAGGCCATGGGGGGCCTAGTGATGGAACAGGCCCCCAAGGCCTCCCCGACCAAGATACCTCATGCTTCCCCCTCGCTTCTTGCCGCACCGGACTCACTCACCTTGAAAAGATCCGTCTCCTCTCTGCCACGGTTCCTGCTTTTGAGGGACAGGAGAGTCGATGGAAGCCTCTGGGTGCCGTAATATCGCGCGAGTTCAGGCACTGATCCTCTTTCGCAGAGAATGGGTGCCTGAATTCTCGCGCTCTTTGCGGTGCCTGCCTCCTGCTTCCCTCCAACTCCGGAGCCACGTGGCCGCTGCCCCCAGAACAGAGATGATGGGGGGCTTCTGCATGCCTCTGGAGTTTGGATCCAGGCTTTGGAAGGGTCTTACAAACCATTTGCGCCAGGAACGGAGGCCGGGGGGGCTTCTGAATGCCTCCGGACGTTGGGCCCAGCCCTCAGAGGACTGCTCCAAGCCGTTTGCGCCCAGAAAAGAGCTTCCAGAGATTGGATCCAAGCCTCGGAGGCATGCAGAAGCCTCCACGTGATCAAATTTCTGGTGCCTGGCAACCCGCATTGTACTTAACGACGGTTGCATTGTCCCGGGGGTCCTCAAATCACCCTTTGGCGACCTTCCCAGCTGACTTTCAACAAGCAGAATCGATGGGAGAAGCCAGCTTTGCTTAACGACCACCCGGTTCCGCTAACAGCGGCAGTGACTGCTTAAACAACTGTGGCAAAAAGGGTTGCAAAATGGAACACTTAGCAACCGCCTTGCTTAAAAGTCGAAATCTTGAGACTCAGTTTTGGAGGCCAGCTGAGGACCGCCTGTCATCTAGTGTGGATTGGGGTTTGTTGAATTCTCTCTGCTTCACCTTCTCCTCTGCCCATCCCTCCCTGTGCTTTAGTTCAGCTCATGCAGGTGGAAGAGAAAGGCAAAGGGTCTGTCCCCTGGTCGGTTTATTGGGTCTACATCCAAGCAGCTGGAGGCCCGGTGGCTTTCCTGACCATCATGGCGCTCTTCGTACTGAACGTGGGCAGCACGGCCTTCAGCAACTGGTGGCTGAGCTACTGGATCAAGCAAGGCAGCGGGGTAAGAACAACCAGCATCTTTGCATTTGTTTATTTCTTTGATTCCTGTAGCCGCCCACCTCGATAAATGACTCTGGGCAGCTTACAATTCAAAACTTAGACCGTGGGACCTCGGTACTCGGCTGTTTCAACACTCGTCGCATCTGGTACTTGACGCATTTTGATGCAAAAATGTTGTCCTGCTACTCATCGTTTGTCTGGTACTTGACGCCCTGCAAAAGGAAGTGGGGGGGGGACAGCCACAGAGGGCGGACAGGAAGTAAGCCATGCTGGGAAGGTCACTGACATAGGAAAAGGGACAGATAGGAAATTCTTTCCGGTCAAAACAAAGGTTCACATAGTAAGTCGCATGGTTTGTTTGGTACTCGTCCTTTTTAGTACTCTTCGCGCCTTCCAGAACCAGTTAAAGACTAGTATGGAGGTACCACTATATTACTATTAAAAATTTAAAAAACATTTTAAGCCAATAAAAACAGAAAAAGAAAGATTTAAAACAGTAGAGAACCTTAAAACATCTAATTCGAAGTACACACTGGCCCGTTAACAATACAGCCAGGAGGAGGGGCCCTTGGCGCATGTGGCGCCCCAGGCTTGGGAGCATAGTAGCCCTGTTCTTGGAGCTTTACAAAAGGCTAACAGGGTTGGGACTGTTCTAATCTCCGAAGGGAGAATGTTCCATAGAGCAGAGGCCGCTGCAGAAAAAGAATTGCCCTTTGTTTAAGGCAGGGGTGGGCAACCTTGGCTCTTTTATGACTCGTGGACATCAACTCCCAGAATTCCTGAGCCAGCAGGGCTCAGCTTAGAAACCTCTCCCTTTCCCCTCAGCATGGCTGGCTCAGGAATTCTGGGAGTTGAAGTCCACGAGTCATAATAGAGCCAAGGTTGCCTATTCCTGTCCTAGTGATTGACAAATCACCCAGTCATCTTTCGTGCCTAAGGCGGGACTAGAACTCACCGTCTCCTGGTAAATGGCGTGAAGTCCCCCAGCCGGCTTTCATTGCTAAGACAGGACTAAAACTCACCATCTCCCAGTTCCTAGCCTGGTGCCTTCACCTGGCTAAAATTATCCCGGGAGAGCGAAAGATTGAAGCGAGCCAAGGGCTATGGGAGAAAACTCTGCTAAATGCAAGCATACACACACACATGCGCTCACTAGCCAGGATTTAATAAACTACAGCTGCATTCAGAGAGACCATAAACTCCTGTAAACTGTAAACTGCACAGAGTCAGTTTGAAAGGAGAAGGGTGACAAATACATTTAATAAATAAATAAAGGGAGGATGTTCCATAGAGCAGAGGCCGCTGCAGAAAAAGAATTGCCCTTCGTTTAAGGCAGGGGTGGGGAACCTTGGCTCTTTTATGACTAGTGGACTTCAACTCCCAGAATTCCTAAGCCAGCATGGCTCAGCTTGGAAACCTCTCCCTTTCCCCTCAGCATGGCTGGCTCAGGAATTCTGGGAGTTGAAGTCCATGAGTCATAAAAGAGCCACGGTTGCCTATCCCTGGTTTAAGGGAAGTTCCAAGATCATTGTTCTGTTTGTAAATAAGGAAGCAAATAATATGTTGTGTGTGTGAATTGTTATTGAACAAACAGTGCAACGGCAACAGTGTGCTCAAGCTAGTATTCTGGTTCTAGTGATTCTCGGATTCTGGAACTAGTAATCAGTGGAATGGCTTGCCACAAGAAGTGGTGGGTGCTCCAACACTGGAGGTTTTTAAGAAGAGACTGGACAACCATTTGTCTGAAAGGGTACACGTAGTCCTCGACTTACAACAGTTCTTTTAGTGACAGTTTGATGTTACAGCAGCACTGAAAAATTCTGAGAGTTGAAGTACACAAGTCTTAAAGTTGCCAAGGTTAGAGACCCCTGGGCAAAATCACGGACAAGGTATCGTGTGGATTTCTTAGCTGCATTTATGAGATGGGCCAACATGTATCTTATTTCTTTCTTAATCATGAAACTTGTTCTTTTCTATTTTTTTTAAACAAACCCAGAACACGACTGTGACGTTGGGGAATGAAACCATGGTGAGCAACAGTATGAAGGATAACCCTCACATGCGTTACTATGCCGGCATTTATGCACTCTCCATGGGAGTCATGCTGATTCTGAAGGCCGTTCGTGGTGTTGCCTTTGTCAAGGTAGGTATTTGTGTAAGGAGAACAACACAATTCTAGGCCGCATTAACAGAGGGATAGAATTAAGATCACATGAAACGTTACTAGCACTTTATATAAGGCCTTGGTAAGACCACACTTGGGATATTGCATGCAGTTTTGGTCACCACGATGTAAAAAAGATGTTGAGACTCTATGTAAAGTACAGAGAAGAGCAACAAAGATGATCAGGGGACTGGAGGCTAAAACATATAAGGAACGGTTGCTGGAATTGGGTATGTCTAGTTTAATGAAGAGAAGGACGAGGGGGGACAGGACAGCAGTGTTCCAATATCTCGGGCTGCCACAAAGAAGAGGGAGTCAAGCTATTCTCCAAGGCGCCTGAAGGCAGGACAAGAAGCAACGCATGGAAACTAATCAAGGAGAGAAGCAACCTAGAACTAAGGAGAAACTTCCTGACAGTTAGAACAATTAACCAGTGGAACAACCTGCCTCCAGAAGTGGTGAATGCTCCAACACTGGAGGTTTTTAAAGAAGAGACTGGACAGCCATTTGTCTAAAATGGTATGGGGTTTCCTGCCTGAGCAGGGGGTTGGACTAGAAGACCTCCAAGGTCCCTTCCAACTCTGTTATTCTGTCAGCAAAATAATTCTCCTTTCTTTTTCTCATCCTGCTATTCCACCCTGTTTCCACAAAAGGAACTGCCTTCATTTCCTGATTTCTCCTTCCGTAGCTTGATGTCATCTCATAAATATGGTGGAAGGCATTTGTAGTGTAGTGTAGTGTAGTGTAGTGTAGTGTAGTCCCCTTCCCCTGCAGCCCCTTCTGGTCATTTGTGAATTTTCTTTGAAAACTCCGGAGTGCCTGGTTCCAACAGTCCTCTTCTATGGTCACTACAGGGGACATTGCGGGCCTCCTCCAGGCTGCACGACGAACTCTTCCGACGGATCCTCCGTAGCCCAATGAAGTTTTTCGACACCACACCTGCGGGGCGGATTCTCAATCGGTTCTCCAAAGATATGGATGAAGGTAACAAACTCTCCTCTCGTAACCTGTTGGTGCTCATACAGGTGGCCTTTGACTGAGAACCATTCATTTAATGACTTCAAAATTACAATGGCACTGAAAAAAGTGACCTGTGACACGGTTTTTTTACACACATGCCCCCGTTTTCGCGCTTAACGACCGTTGCAGCATTCCCCACAGTCACGTGATCAAACAGGAAAGCTGTCTTTGGAACGGTGCCAGTTTATGTCACACCACGTTGTTGGGGATAAAAACCGGAAGAGGGTGTGCTATGTATTTCGTTTTGAATTTCTAGCAGAAGCGCAAGTTATAAATCTAAGACACAACGTGATGAATGAGGTAGACCCATTTGGTCAACTCACTGCTGACTTTTCATTGAAGGAAGGCTAACGTTCAGTTGCATATAGCGCTTAGCGAAAGCCCTTGAAGGTGTTCACCATTTGGGGCAAGACTTCCTGAAATAATGAAATCCAGTAGCTGTTGGCACTTTGTTAAGGGAATCTGGCTCTTGAACCCTTCTGAATAGACAAATTGTTGAAAGCAGAGTAGGAGGGCCCTGAGTGAATCTTACCTGGGCTGGCCTTACCTGAATCTCTCCTGGGCTGGACAGGAGAGGCTCTATAACAAGGTGTTGTCCTCGCCCACCAGCCGTGTTGTGTATATGTATAGGATATTACGGTTATATTTTTATCCCGCTTTTATATAAATAACCAAAGATGGGAAACATACCTCATCCTCCTTTTTCCCCACAACAACAACCCTGTGGTGTGGATTGGGCTGAGAGAGAATGACTGGCCCAAAGTCAACCAGCTGGCTATCATGGCTAAGGCGGGACTAGAACTCACCGTCTCCAGGTGATTGGCCCAAAGTCACCCAGCTGGCTTTCATACCTAAGGCAGAACTAGAACTCACCGTCTCCAGGTGATTGGTCCACAGTCACCCAGCTGGCTCTCATGCTTAAGGCAGGACTAGAACTCACAGTCTCCTGGTGATTGGTCCACAGTCAACCAGCCAGCTTTCATGTCTAAGGCGGAACTAGAACTCAAGGTCTCCTGGTGATTGGCCAAAAGTTATCCAACCAGCTTTCATGCCTAAGGGTGGGGGACTAGAACTCAAGCTGTCCTGGTGATTGCCCCAAAGTCACCCACTTGACTTTCACGCTTAGGGGAGGCCTAGAATTCAGACTCCCCTGGTTTCTAGGCCAGCACCGTCACTATTGCGCCTAACTCGGTTGTCGATATTGTTCACCTTGGTGAGAATTTGAGCCTATGCTAATCAGCTGGGTCTGTCCATCTCTTCCAGTTGATGTCCGCCTGCCTTTTCAAGCTGAAATGTTCATACAGAATGTCATCCTGGTGTTCTTCTGCGTGGGAGTGATCTCTGGCGTCTTTCCATGGTTCCTAATGGCAGTGGGTCCCCTCGTGGTTCTTTTCACCATTCTTCATGTTGTGTCTAGGTAAGAGCAGCAATTGTTATGGGTCATTTAAGACATTGTTCACCTAATGAGAAGGAAGGACTCACTGGAGAAGAGCCTGATGCTGGGAAAGATTGAGGGCAACAGAAGAAGGGGATGACGGAGAATGAGGTGGATGGATGGAGTCACCGAAGCAGTACGTGTGAGCTTAAATAGACTCCAGAAGATGGTAGAGGACAGGAAGACCTGGAGGAAATTTGTACATGGGGTCGCGATGCGTCGGACACGACTTCGCAACTAACAATAACAAAGACATTGTTAGCCTTGAGGGTCTTCCATAACTTGGTGTTACTTCATTGGTTGCCAGCTGCTTCCAAAACCAATTCGGGCTAAAGCAGGGGCCTTCAAACTTGGCCCTGTTATGACTGGTGGACTTCAACTCCTAGAATTCCTCAGCCAGGCACGTGTGCCTGGCTGAGGAATTCTGGGAGTTGAAGTCCACCAGTCATAACAGGGCCAAGTTTGAAGACCCCTGGGCTAAAGCATCCAATGACTGGTTGTTCTCATATTTTTGTTAGACCTTTACTTCCAGTTGGTTGTGGGTTTTTTTTTTTGTACACAGAGTGTTCATTCGGGAGTTGAAACGACTGGACAACATTACGCAGTCTCCATTTATTTCTCACATCACTTCAAGCATTCAAGGTCTCTCCACCATCCACGCCTACAATAAAGGAGAGGAATTCCTATACAAGTGAGTCTGTTTCTTTTCTGACGTTCAGTCTTAGCTGCTACAAAACAGACAAGCCAGGATTTTTTTAAAAAAAGTTGGGTTTATTGCACAAGCGATAGTGGCTTAATTCACTCCGAATGCCAGTTCATCTAGAAGTAGTGATAATATTTCAGATGAACTGGTTCAAAAGCTGCTGTCTTAATTTGCTAGCAGTCACGTGCATCCTGTTTTGTGAAACTTCTCCTCCAACTCAGGTTAAAAATGAGATACGGGTCGTCCTTGATTTACGACCGCAACTGAGTCCAAAACGTCCATTCCTAAGCAAGACTGTTGTTAAGTGAGTTTGGTCCCATTTTACAACCTTTCGTGCCACAATTGTTAAGTAAATCACTGCAGTTGTTAAGTTAGTGACGATTGTTAAGTGACTCTGCCTTCCCCCATTGACTTTCCTTGTCAGAAATCAGATGATGGGATTTACCAGAGGGAATATTTAAAAATTAAACATCGGTTTGAATATGGTTAAAGAAATAGAAAGGTTTTGGATATAAACGAAGATTAGTTTAAGAGGGATGAACCCCTCAAGTAACATAGTATTTTTTTTTCTTTCTTTTTTCTTTTGTGTTTTGTTTTTTGACATGAGAAATATAAAAATGTTGGGACGGTTTATATATAGAAAAGAAATGTTTTCTCTGTTTTCTTTTCTTTTAAGATATGAGAAATGTAAAAAAGTGTTGGGATGGCTTGTATGAGAAAAAAGACTTAAATACTTAAGCGTAATCCATTCTGAGAAAATCTTAACCAGTCAGAATGTTTTGAATATTGTGAGGAAAACAAATTTAAATAAGAATTTTGTAAACAGGATCCGTGACGAGGCAATCGAGACGATCAATTAGAAAAGAAGCTTTATATTGATGTGGTTATTGTTTGCAGAAAGATGAGAAAAATATCTATATTTAATTGTCATTTATTTAAATAATAAGAACTGTATTAAGGTTGGCAAAAGAGAACATTATTAGAAGAAGAGAAAATCAAGCAAAAGGGGAATCACGTGACCCCCCCAGGGGACACGGCAACCGTCCTAAATACATGGCAGTTGCCAAACATTCAAATTTTGATCACCCGATCTTGGGGAAGGCTGGAATGATCATTAAGTGTGAAAAACAATCATAGGTCACTTTTTTGGGTATCGTTGTAGTTTTAGACAGTCACTAAAATGAATGTGTCATGTTCCGATAGATGAGACCGGTAGAAATAAGAACTCTGAGGCAATTGCTTTCCTCAAAGAACAATTTTAATGGCTGCATAATATCAGCACGAACATAGGTGAAACCAAGACCGGAAGTCCCCCCCCCCAAAAAAAAGGTTACAAAGTAAAAGTTAAACTCCCCACCCATTAAATATGTAATAAATCACTTTCTCCAATTAACACCTTAGACGGGCTCTCTACTGGTAATTCTAGCCCGCCAAACACTTGAGCGATTTGACCTTGGTTCCCACAGGAAAGTTATTGTTTTGTCTGAAACAGAAGAATGCATTTTCCCTCCTTCCAAAGCTGCGGCAAGCCGATAAACAAAGGAAGGTGGCTGTGTGACCAAAAAGTAGTTTTGTAGGTTTGACAGAACACCTGTACCTGCATTTTAATTGTAAATATTTTCTGCTTCTAGATATCAGCAACTGCTGGATGATAATCAGGCGCCATTCTTCTTGTTCAGCTGTGCGATGCGCTGGCTGGCTGTGAGACTGGATATTGTCAGCATCGCCCTCATTATAACCACTGGCTTAATGATCATCTTAATGCACGGCCAAATCCCACCCGCGTACGCTGGGCTCGCCATCTCCTATGCGGTTCAGGTGAATGCTCCTCTTGTATGTCAAAACAAAGTTGCCTTTTGGAACTCCACAGTGCAAGCTGGGCCCAGTCACAAGGGCGTTGTTGAATTGATTTTATATCACAGTAGTCCTTGACTTACGAGCGTTTGCTGAGCAACCAGTCAAAGTTAGGATGGACTTACCTCCTAGGGGGTACTTATGCCCTGGATTCCAAGTTCTGATCGACGGAGCCTCCCTCCCCCCCAAACACATAGTGGTGTGCATAGGACTGCAACGGGCACTTGGCAAGCAGGCTGCATTTACAACCTTTTGCGGTATCTTGTGATTGCGTGACCCACGTTTTACAGCTGTTTGGCTGAAAACTGGCATCTGCTTCCCGTTTTCAGAAAGAACAACCCATCGCAAATTATGGGTTCCCTTAATGACCGCCACAAGAAAAGGTCGTAAAATCTGTAACCACTCTCACAACTTAACGACCGTAATGGGCAGGCTTCATTACGGTCATAACATGAGGACTAGCTAAAGAGACTAACAAGTAGCACCCGTCTGCTTGCTCCTCTGTCCATCAAAAATCCTACGACACTGAAAATATGTAGTGGGGACACTGTGGAATATTTATGAACATCCTCTGTTAAAATGGCTTGTTTGGAAGAAAAAGTGCCTGTGGATTAAAAAAATAAAAAACCTCGGAGCTGAGAAAAGGCAGGGATGAGATGTGGCTGAAGAGGCGGTAAGGTGAATAAAATTAACCATAGTTTTTGTCCGTGCTGGCTCTTCTCCATGGAGGTAGCCTTAACAGAACTTGACCACTAACAAGGAACGGAAAGCCTTCAATTTTATGGCACTCCTTTCCTTCCTATTGCAGCGTGGTTCATGATAAAGCCTCACTTAACCGCGCTCATCCGATGGGATTAAGTTGTCCCATAGAGAATCACTCTTGAGGTTTTCACGGCTAATAAGTTGGTTCATGTATCCTAGTGCTGCAAGTAACAGCGATTCGTTTCCTTCTCAGTTAACGGGACTGTTCCAGTTTACGGTCAGGTTGGCTTCGGAGACGGAGGCACGCTTTACATCTGTGGAGAGAATTGACCACTACATCAAGGTATTTAAGATTCTGTCCACTGCCCAATATTTTCCCCGGTGCCTCGCGTCCCCTAGAACAGGGCTTTTCAACCTTTTCAACCATTGTACCACTTTTAGGATATGGCAACATCCGAGTACCACCTGTCGCCTAGCAAGGTGTCAAAAACTTGATGACCCAAAAAAAAAAAAAGGCAAAAAGTGATAAAGTACAGGTAGTCGTCGACTTACAACAGTTCGCTTAATGACTGTTCGAAGTTACAATGGCACTGAAAAAAGTGCCCCCCAAGCCACAGCCAAGCAAGACACCTGCCTGCCTGCCTGCCCGGCGGCGCTCTTCCTCCTGTCCGAGGTTTTCATTGTTGTGAGGCATTTCTGTTGAGGATTGGCAGCGGAGATGGGGTGGGTTTTTTTTATTCCCCTTGTCTGCTGAGTGGTTGCAGCAGGTTTTGGTCACTTCACAAGACCCTGGGACACAGTGACCGACATAAATATGAATCAGTTGCCCAGCATCTGAATGTAAATCACAAGACCCTGGAGAGGCTGCAACATTCCAGCTGATTGGCGCTTGTTCTGGGCTCAGCAGAAGTGCCAGGATCAGTGCTGCTTTCCAGCTGATTGGCGCTTCTTCAGGGCTCAGCAGAAGCGCCAGGATCAGTGCCGAGCTCCAGCTGGAGCCTGGCGCTGATCCTGGCAATTCCGCTGAGCCCTGACAGCCCTGCAGCTCCAGCCATCTCTCGCTCAGGCTTGTGCGGTGCTGCCACCGGTTCAGCTCATTCCCCTCCCCCGCTACCACTTTTCTAGGATGGTCGCGTACCCCCTGCCAGGTGCCCATGTACCACAGGTGGTGCCCGTACCACTGGTTGAAAAGCCCTGCTCTAGAAAGGTGCTCCCTCCTCTTCATTAAGCTCAACCTGATTCTGCAGTATATTCTTAAACCATCCAATCACAGGCCGCCTCAAAGGTGCTTTTCCAAAAGGCAACTGGACTTGCTTAATTCTTCCCTTGAAAAACATTTCGCTTCTCGTCCAAGAAGCTTCTTCGGTTCTAACATCTCCAGACAGTGAACAGATTAAAAGATAAAATCAAAAGGACAGCAGTGAGTGCCATCAAGAAGGATAATGGTGTAAAAATCCAAAACGTTCCTGAAGTGCCTACAAGAATCGCTTGTCAGGAACCAGAAGAAACATAATCTTAACACAAAGGCTAACCTCTCATAGATGAGACAGTGATCAACAAAACAGAGGGAAGTTGATACCTCTTGTAAGAGAAAGATAGTTTGGGCTATTATGTGTGAGGTTCACTCTCCTGAAAAAAGCAGAACAGATGCTTGAGGAATTATTAATACCATTTTGCAAGGCCTTGGTAAGGCCACACTTGGAATACTGCATCTAGTTTTGATCATCACGATGTAAAAAAGATGTTGAGACTCTAGAAAGAGTGCAGAGAAGAGCAACAAAGATGATTAGGGGACTGGAGGCTAAAACATATAAGGAACAGTTGCTGGAATTGGGTATGTCTAGTCTAATGAAGAGAAGGACGAGGGGGGACATGATAGCAGCCTTCCAATATCTCAGGGGCTGCCCCAAAGAAGAGGGAGTCAAGCTATTCTCCAAAGCACCTGAAAGCAGGGCAAGAAGCAATGGATGGAAACTAATCAAGGAGAGAAGCAACCTAGAACTAAGGAGGAATTTCCTGACAGTGGGGACAATTAAACAGGGGAATGGCTTGCCACCAGAAGTTGTGAGTGCTCCATCACTGAAGATTTTAAAGAAGAGATTGGACAACCATTTATCTAAAATGGTATAGGGTTTTCTGCTGAGCAGGGGGTTGGACTAGAAGACCTCCAAGGTCCCTTCCAACTCTGTTATTCTGTTAATCGTTCCTAGACTGCTGCCCGTAATTGACATCTTTTCTCTTCTCTCTCGGTGATTCCCAGACTCTTTCCCTGGAGGCCCCGGCTCGCATCAAGAATAAGGCCCCCCTTCCAGACTGGCCCCACGAAGGAGAAATCCGCTTTGAAAATGCCGAAATGCGTTATCGTGAGAACCTGCCGCTTGTCCTCAAAAAAGTCTGCTTCACCATTAAACCCAAGGAGAAGATCGGAATTGTGGGGAGGACCGGCTCAGGTAAGGCTGGGTGCTGCTCTAGCTGCTCCTGTCTAGATTTTATTTTAAAAAAAAAGCTCACTGGAGCCACCTTTTGGGGATTAGGAGTAGTAAAAAAAACCCAACTATTTCTAAAGAGGAAAAAAAAAATACGCACCTGTATTTCCTGTGCCAAAATAGGTTTTATGAAGATAAAACATTGGATGTTTTTGCATTGACAACAGAGGGAAATGTAGCCATCTTTTACCTTTTGCTTTTAAAGTTAGATGATGCTGGGAGGGGGGATGTGAACGAGAGTCCAGCTAGACATAACAACACTAAACCTAGCCTGAGAATCAAGGTTGTTGTAACCAGAGCTGATAAGGAATTGGCAGGCTGGAGAATTGGAGAGGAAGCCCGTGCTTCAAGCTAATTGGGGAATGTGATTTATGACTGTTAATTGGAGGAGGGAATTCTGCTTTGATACTATGTGCCCAGGGGAGTGGAATTTAGTTTTTGGCTTCCTGCCGATGCTATGCTACTCAAAATAAAGATTCTTTAAGGTAAACAATGCCTCAAAGTTCTTTCGAAGTTTCATCTGTCGGAACCATGACAGGATGACTAATTCACAGTAGCTAGGGTACATGTCTGTTCAGCCAATGCACAAGTGTTGCTTAAGATTTCTCGTTGAAGTATCTCCTAAAAACATCAATGGTTGGATGGTCTGGATGTCACAGGGCATTATAATGCTGTGAGCAAATGGGCCTTCCGTGTAAATACAGGTCGTCCTGGACTTATGACTGAAGTTATGACAGACTTCCCCAAGGGTACTTTCAACCTGTTTCTGAACTCAAAACACTGGACCACTGGATCTTTTTTCTGCCATCAGCTTTCTGTTTCCTTTAACATTGGGTCAGTCACGTGGGTGACCCGGTTTACGACCATCACGACTTGTAACCATTATGGTTGCAAGTTGAGAGCTACCTGCACCTGCTTCTCTGTTCTGAGTGTGCACTTAGCGACTGTTTTCATAGAAGTGGCATTGTAAGGATAAGAAAGGAGAGTCTGGTGTTCTGTGGCCGCAGGGCAATTACTTCTTAAACTATGCCAGTGTGTGTAGACTCCAGACTCCTGCGTAATCATGGATCCTGGGTGTGGGTTTTTTTCTTCTTCTTCTTTCTCTTTGCATTATTCTTTTGTACATTGTCCACTGCATTGTAAAACTCTCGTTTTAAACTCTAAACTGTCTTGGATAAAATAGTATTAAAAAGTAGAACATAGAACGTAGAATCCTAGAGCTAGAAGGGACCTTAGAGATCTTCTAGTCCAACTCCCTGCTCAAGCCAGGAGACCTTATACCGGTAATGGCGAACCTTTTAGAGACCGAGTGCCCAAACTGCAACCCAAAACTCACATATTTATCACAAAGTGCCAGGGCTGCATCAGCATTGTGGTGCCCTCAAGGGGGGTGGGGGTGTGTGTGGCCCACTGGGTGGGTGTGGCTGCATTGGTCACAGCAGACTGGGTGAGCGTGGCCGGGGCCAGTCCCTCGCCATCTCCGGGGCATCCCCGGGGGGCCAACGCCGCTTGCTCGCTCACTTCCTGCCCTGTCACTTCCAAACGCCACGTTCTCGCTACTCTGGCGAACTCTGCTGGGGCAACGGTGTGCGTGCCCACAGAGAGTGGGCATGCCGCTTCTGGCACGCGTGCCGTAGGTTCGCCACCACTGCCTTATACCATCCCAGTGAAATGATTGCCTAGTCTATTTTGGAACACCTCCAGTGATGGAGCACCCACAACACTTGTTGTAGGCAAGCTACAACATAACTCAACTGTATAGCGGTAGCCTTCCACTTACGACTTCAATTGAGCCCCGAATTTCTTTTCTTTTTTTTTAAATAAAAAAGTTTTTATAGGGTTAGGGATAAAATGGGGTCAAGATTAGGATTGAGGTTGGAGTTAGGGTTGGTGTTGGGGTTTTCCCAGGTAACATTTTCAATATTTAGCAAACAGCATATTATCTGGGTACATATAATAATAATAATAATAATAATAATAATAATAATAATAATAATAATAATAATAATAATAATAATAATAATAATAATAATAATGATGATGATGATGATGATGATGATGATGATGATGATGATGATGATGATGATGATAAAGTTGGAAGGGATCTTGGAGGTCATCTAGTCCAACCCCCTGCTCAGGCAGGAAACCCTATACCATTTCGGACAAATGGCTGTCCAGTCTCTTCTTAAAAACTTCCAGTGTTGGAGCATTCACCACTTCTGGAGGCAGGTTGTTCCACTGGTTAATTGTTCTAACTGTCAGGAAGTTTCTCCTTAGTTCTAGGTTGCTTCTCTCCTTGATTAGTTTCCATCCGTTGCTTCTTGTCCTGCCTCCAGGAGTTTTGGAAAATAGCTTGACTCCCTCTTCTTTGGGGCAGCCCCTGAGATATTGGAACACTGCTATCATGTCCCCCCTCTTCCTTCTCTTCATTAAACAGGACATACCCAATTCCAGCAACCGTTCCTTATATGCTTTAGCCTCCAGTCCCCTAATCATCTTTGTTGCTCTTCTCTGTACTCTTTCTAGAGTCTCAACATCTTTTTTACATCGTGGTGACCAAAACTGGATGCAGTGTTCCAAGTGTGGCCTTACCAAGGCCTTGTAAAGTGGTATTAATACTTCACGTGATCTTGATTCTATCCCTCTGTTAATGCAGCCTAACACTGTGTTGGCTTTTAACTAAATAATAGATATAGTTAATAATCATAAACAGTATTAATGAATCAGTCAGTAGCCTACTTCTTACTAATATATATTCAAAATTACGTATCACGTTCCTTTGTCTCTGACTCGTTTTTCTAGCCGTTGGTAAAAGTGATCCCATGTTCTAAATTGAGCCCCAAATTTCTGTTGTTAAGCAAAACGCTTGTTAGGTGAGTTTTGCTCCATTTTACGACCTCTCTTGCCACAGTTGTTAAGGAATCGTTGCAGTTGTTAAGTTAGGAACCTGGTTGTTTAAGTGAACCTGGCTTCCCCCACTGACTTTGCTTGTCAGAAGGTCGCAAAAGGGGATCACGTGACACCCCCGGGACGCTGCGACCGACATAAATACGAGTCCGTTGCCAAGCGTCCGAATTTGGATCACGTGACCATGGGGGGATGCTGCAACGGTTGCAAGTGTGCAAGAATGGTCATAAATCACTTTTTTCACCGCTGCCGTAATTTCGAACAGTCACTAAATGAACGGTTGTTTAAGTTGAGGACTGCCTGCATTCCATTGTTCCGAATGTCAGAAAATGTCTCCTTCCTTCCAGATTGAATCTCTCTTTAACGAGCTTCCGCCATTTTTTTTTAAAGCAGCCGCTAAAGAGCTCCTGTGAGAGCAGATAGGCCAGCCTTGCACGTTCCTCAGTATGGCAGCTGACCGCGATTTCCCTTGTTTTTTTCCCCCAGGAAAATCCTCCTTAGGGATGGCTCTCTTTCGCCTGGTGGAGCTCTCGGGGGGCTGCATTAAAATTGACGGAGTGAAAATCAGCGACATTGGCTTGGCAGATCTTCGGAGCAAGCTTTCCATAATCCCCCAGGAGCCCGTCCTCTTCAGTGGCACTGTGAGGTTGGTATAACAGCAAAGCAAGTGAGAGAGAGAGAGAGGGAAGGAGGGAGGGAGAGAAAGAGAGGGAGAGAGAGAAAGAAAGAGAAAGAGAAAGAGAGAAAGGGAGAGGGAGAGAAAGAGGGAGAAAAGGCGGGAAGAGAGGAAGGGAAAGAGGTAGAAAGAGGGAGAGGGAGAGAAAGAGGGAGAGAAAGAAAGAGGGAGGGAGAGGGAGAGAAGGGGAGAGAGGGGGGAGAGAAAAAGAAAGGGAGAGAAGAGGGGGAGGGAGAAGGAGAGAGGAAGGGAGAAGGAGAGGAAGGGAGAGAGGGAGAAAGAGGGAGAGAAAGGGGGAGAGAGGATGGGAGAGAGAAAAAGAGAAAGGGAGAGAAAGAGGGAAAGAGGGAGAAGGAGAAAAGAAGGAAGAAATGGAGAGGGAGAAGGAGAGAGAAGATGGGAGAGATGGGGGAGAGAAAGAGGGAGAGGGAGAAGGAGAAGGAGAAAGAGGGAGAAGGAGAGAGAGGATGGGAGAG